GCAGGCCGCGCCAGATGGGAGATTTAGGGTATTGCATAGACGTTGACATCCTTTCCGAAGTTCATCAGCAGGGGTTCCTGGTTCAGCCTGATTTTTTGTGACAGCGCCATGGTTTCGCGGCGGGCGTATTCGCCCAGTTCTTTCACTGTCACGATGCGGTCTGCATTCTTGTCGGCGACGCCGGTGCGCAGGCCCTTGAGCAGCGTGTGGGTAAAGAGGCCGTTGCCTTCATAGCCGTCAAGCGCTTCTTCGGTAGCGCTGGCCGAGGCAAAAATATGCAGGCCCATGTTGCGTGCCAGCACGGCCAGGCGCGCGTCGTAGAGGCCACGCACGAGCGAACTCGCGCCGCCGGCGTGGCAGGTGTCAAGGATGACGAGCTGGTTGAAGGCCTTGATGCGGCGGGTGGCCTCAAGAATGTCGCTGGTCGAAAAAAGGCTTTCTTCACGCTCTTTGCCGTCCCAGTCCTGCAGCACGATGCCATAGGACGCGTTGTTGTCCAGCGTGCCGTGGCTGGCGACGTACCAGACGAGGATGTCGTTTGAACGAACCTCGCGCTGCAGCTCGGCAAGGGCGGCCTCCAGGCCCGCACGGGTGGCCTGCTGGTTCTGCACCATGCGCATGACCACGGGCGAATCACGGTAGGTGGCGCCCAGCCGTTCACGGAAGGCGTTGGCCACATCCGTCGAGTCTTTCACGCCGTTGGCCAGCGTGGGCGCCGCATTGGCATTTTTGAAGACGTCGATGCCGACCGCCAATACAAAGATACGCGGTGCCGCTGCGGTGCCAGAGGCCTGCACGGTGCGTGTCACAGGCCGCGCATTGAGGTTGCCGGCACCGTTGAAGCCAACGACAGAAAAGACGTTTTCTCCGGCAGCAAGCTCCACCTCGACCTGGCCGTCCAGCTGCTGCAGCACCTTTGGCGCACTTGCAGGGTCCTGCTGCGCCTGCACCGCCAGGCGCAATGCGCGGGTGACGGCCTGTTCTGCGCGCGCAGGGCTCTGCTTTTGCGCAGTGATCTCAGGGCCTGGCAGTACGCCGGCCGGCTGGCGGGCTGCCAGCCCCGACCGAATGACTGCACGGTTAAAGACCTCCACCAGCTTGCCGTTATGAAGCACGCGTACCTCACCTACGCCGCCGCCTTGTGTGTCGGCGCGAAAGTCCAGCTTGACCTTTTGCCCGGCAGCAAGCGGGCCCTCGGGCAGGCGCAGCGCAACCTGGGGTGGCGGCTGCTTGAGCGCGTCCTGAAGCGTGACCGTGATGAGCGGTGCAATCGGCTGCCCTGCAAGGGCGCGTTCGACGATATCGGGGCGGTAGAACACGTCATAGAACTGGTCAATGCCATAGACCTTGCCGTCCATGCGCACATTCACCCAGCGGTCACCTTCCTGTGATGCAACGAAGTAACCCTCGGGCGTGATGGTGATCCACTCGTTGTTGTCAAACCGGATCATGCGGGCGATCTCGCCGCCGTCTGCGCCTGACAAAAGGCGTATGGCGCCGTCCACTGAACCCGCCGCCAGCCGCTTGTCGCCTGCCATGAAGGTCAGAAGGTGCGGGCTGGGTGAGGGCAGCTGCCTGCTCCAGCGCGGGGTGGGCTCGCCCCCAGCGGGCCAGTTCCAGAGCACCGTCCAGCCGGTGGTGTCTGATGCGGCGATGGTCTTGCCGTCCGTCGCCAGCGCAAGGGCTTTCACGGGCCGCAGGTCGTTTGATGCCTTGATGAAATATTTACGCGCTGCCTGGCCGGTGTCCCAGATCGACAGGTTGGTGCCGCCGTTGGTGATGGCCATCTGGCCGGCGGGATGCGCAACTATCAGGTCGACCGTGATGTTTTGCGCCAGGTCCCATTTGCGCAGAATTTTTCCAGTCGCCAGGTTGACGGCAAGCAGCCAGGCCTGGTGTTCCATGTCATAAGGCAGGCCCGTGGCGGTGCCTGTGACCCACAGGGTGCGCTCATCAGCAGAGATCGCCATGGCGCGAACAATGCCGGGCATGCCAATTTCATGCTTGTGGGTGCGCTCACCGGAAGCAAGGCGCTCCTGCACAAAAACGCGCGGGCTCAAAGGCGTTGCAGTGGCCGTCGGAGTTTGCCCAACTATGGGAATTCCCGCTATGGCCATGAAACGCTGGCCCGGCGACTGAACCATGATCTCGCTGCGGTAGGAGCCGGGCTCTTGAGGGGCCTGGCTTGCTGCCTGGGCTGGCTTCGGATTGACTGCCCCACTTGTCGGCAAAAAGATGTCGCCGGGCTTTCCGTCCCAGGGCTCGTAGCCAAAATGCTCGAACTTCAGCTCGCCTTTGTCGTCTGTAGTGGCCTGGCGCAGCAGGTGGGTGCGCAGCGGGGGCAGCAGTATCGTCGAGGGAAAGAGCGCTGCCACCGAAACAAACCGGCCCTGTGCATCAACGGACAGGTCTGAAGGTGCGTTGCGCTGCCAGTCGACGATGCGTTCCAGCCTGCCGGTCTTGAGGTCCCATACGGCGGCGTGGTTGATCGGGCTGAGCATGCCGCGTGGGCCATACAGTGTGTCCAGGCGTTGTACACGCTCCGGCGTCCAGTCGCCGGGCTTGCCGAATTCATTGCGTATCTGTGCCGCCTGCAGGTAGTTTTCCTGTGCCGCAATTCTGGGCCTGCCGTCTGTGGCTATCAAGCGGTTCAGCTTGTCACTGGCGCGAATCTGACGTGGCGACAGCCCCCGGCCCTCAAGCGTATGCACAAGACGCAGGGTCTGCGCGTTGTCATACTCGTAGATGCGCACGGCTTCGTCCCACAATGCCAGCGCCACCCGGGTGGCCCCCTGGCTGTTTGGGGCTGGTGTGGCCGGAAAGTCAAGGCTGCCACGCAGGAAAGGTGTGCCGCCGCGTGTGTTGCGCTGGTTGCGTACGTTGGCCAGCGGTTCACCATCTGCGACGCGCCACAAGCGAAGTGCTTCATGCTCGCTGATCGCCCTCACGCCGCCAGCCAGCATGATGGTTGTGTCGATTTGCGCTGCCGAGGCCAGCAGTTTTCCGTCGGATGAAAACGCCAGTGCAAATACATTTCCGGCATGGCCTTTCAGCCGCCTGATCTCCCGGCCAGTACTGGTGTCAAGCAGCACTACATCGCGGTCCCCGGATCCCATGATGGTTCCGTGTGCGACGGCAAGGGTGGTGCCGTCGGATGAAAGCGCCAGTGAGGAAATCGATTCGGACAGTTTTGCGAGCAGCACCGATGAGCCCACGCCGGCGAGGCTTGTCACCACCACACTGCCATCGCGGCGTGCGACAAATGCCTTTTGCTGGTCTGTCGACATCACCATGGTGGTGTAGTTGGGCGCGCCGCCTGCGTTTTCGCCAGCCAGCAGGGGAACGATGGTCTGCACCGCGCCGGCCTGGTCAACAGACCAGCGGCGCAGGCCATCCTGCTCACCCAGTGACCATGCACCACGGGAATCGGGTGTGGCAATGACAGCGAGGACCTGGCCTTTATGCCCCTGCCAGCTCCGGATTACTTCCCCGGTGACCACGCGAGACATCACCACATCGTTGCCGGAGCGCGCCCCGCCGGACGAGACGAGCATGTTTCCGTCAGGCGTGAAGGCAAGCCCCATACACAGGCCTGTATGCCTGTGCACTTCACGCAACTGCCGACCGGCCAGGGCATCCCAGGCCACCACCAGGCCGGTGCCGTCGCATGTGGCTGCGCGCTGGCCATCAGGTGAGAAGCGCACCATGGTCGCCATGAGGGAGTTGCCGGTCTGCACAAACACTTCGGAACCAGTTCCGGGGCCTGACGGGGGAGCGGTTTGCGCTACCGCGCCGTGCATGGCGATGGTGCAGCTGGCAGCGCACAGCACATACCGCAAGAAGGCAGGGATAGTTTGTTGCATCGCAATTACCACCATTGGATAAACCCGAGCAGATTGATGACCCAGTCCAGCGCGGCCAGCATCGCAACCACAGCCACCGAACTGATCATCATGGCGCGCAGGCCCAGCCGGTGCGCGTCCACCCCTGCCGCAGTGTTCTGTGTACCGGGCCAGGCGTAAAGCATGGTCGCCAGGCTGCATGACAGGCCAAGAAGGACTGCGGTCAGCAGGCTGCGCAGCCAGCTCCAGGGTGAGACCAGGCTGAACACGGCATCTGTTGCATGCCGCAGGTCACCGATGGCCAGTACAAAAGAGGCTGCAAAGCCAAAGACCAGCGTGAGGGCGATGATGATGAAGCTGGCTGCTGCGGCCACCACGGCGTGCGCGGCCAGCAGCGGCACTCCGGGGTAGGCCGCCGGTGAGGCCTGCAGGTGTGCCAGCGCAGTGAACTCTCCACGGGCATGGCGCTGTGACAGTTCCAGTGCCAGCGTGGGTGCCCTCTGCATGGCCAGTGCCTGGGCTGCGGCCATGGGCGCGCCGTAGATCACCCAGACCGGCCAAAGGGTCGCAAAGGCACTCGCAGCAGACCCGCCTAGTGCCGAGGGCAGCGTGACGAAAAGAAGGGCGCCCACCATGAGTGAGATCACGATGGCTGCTGGTATGAGTTCTGACAGCAGGGTGTCGCGCTCGCGCCGCATGAGCGCGCGGGGCAGTGGCAACTGCCAGTGGCTGCGGTGCAGCCAGAGTTGCGCCAGCGCAGCACCGCGCAGGCGGGCCGCTGCGTGCAGTCTTGTGAAGCTGGCTGCGGCTGTAGTCATCTGGCCCACTGTTTGATGGTTTCTTCTTCAGGCCGCTCGGCGGACAGGGCCCGCCAAAGCAACAGCGCATCGTGCGGCAGTGATTCGCTCTCAAGCGTCACGGCGCGCGCTACACGCTGTGGAAAGCTGGTCGGCATGGGGCCGATTTTTTTGCGCCGTTCGTCGGCGGTGGCTATGATTTTGAAGCGCCCGGCACGCGATATGCCATTGGGGTCAGAAAGTACTTCCGCGCGCCAGTCATATTCGCCTGCCGACAGTTCTGCAGGCACCGTCCATTGCATCGCTGATGTCACTGTCTGTGCTGACACCGCCTGCGAATCCACGGGCGAGACCGTTACACGGACGCTGCTGCCCGCCGCAGCCTGCCACAGCAGCGTGGGCTGGGCGTTGAGCACGTCGACATTGTTCGGGCTGACGATGCGCAGCGCAGCGTTGCCGCGCATGACGACAGCACCCAATGCCATGCGCTCGCGCTGTGCTGGTTCCATTTTTGCCATGGCCTGCGATGCAGGTGCTGGCATGGCACGCGCCCTCGGGGCAGGGCCCTGCAAAGCCGATGGCTTGTCAGGCTGCAGGCGATAGCGCCCGGGGCCGGTGAATTGCCACTCCTGTGAGCTTGGCAGGTAGACCAGCGTGGCTGCTGCTCCTGCAGGCAGGCGCAGCTCTGTGCCGGCGGCCAGGTAGTCGAGCAGGTTCAGGCGCGCGTTTTTACCGGCGCTGGTAACCTCCACATCCCCCGTGCGGTCCAGCACCATCGCCAGCCCCTGCGCCTGGGCGATGCCCAGTGACAGGCACGCCAGCGCCAGCGACAACCTGACGACATACAGCTTGAACATATCAGTGCGTTTCATGGTGTTTATCTCGCGATCAATGTGTAGGCGGGCATTCCGTGGCCCGCATCTTCAGGCAGGCGCTCAAGGCCCGTATGGCCGACGCTCTCTGCAACCTGCGCCGACACCAGTACCCTGAACCCGGCGCTGTCTGCAGCAGACGCTGCGGCTGTCGCGAGTTGCAGTGCCTGATCGACAGCCTCACCGACAAGAACAAAGGGGCTTGATTTTTTCATGGGCACCTGGCCTGTCACCACCGGGCCGGCGGCAATGCCTATCGAAAGCTGCGGAAGTGCGCCCTGTGCATCGGCGACGGCAGCACCCCATACTGCCCGTGAACGTGTGATGGCGAGTGCGGCTTCCAGCGCTGCGCGCTGCGGGTTGCGCAGCGGCAGGGGTGCGCCAAAGTAGGCCAGCACGCCTGTGCCCTGAAAGCGGTCCACCATGCCACCGGCGCGTTGCACCGCACGCTGCAC